ACTCTTTCCTTGGGCTCTTGCAATGTGGCTTCACATATCCCCATCTGTATTTTCAGCACAGATGTGAGTCCAGTACTGTAGGTGAAGGTCTGAGCTATGACACAGGGGAATTTCTTCCAAGAAATTATCCCAACAGCTCCCCTGGGGACTTGGCCTCCAAACACAGCCCCAAAGTAAGGCAGGACACAAGCACAGCTGAATTCAGACCCAGTCTTTCCACAGCAGGGCTTGTGCCACTCCTACTTGGGTATGTGCAAAGCGAGGGTCTGATAATGGTTGGGAGTCATGGACTCTAATGCCAGCTTTGCCACCCACCCACTGTCACTTATTGAAGAAGTAAATTAACCTCTGCAATCATCTGTAAAATTGCTATAATAGGGGCTTGGAGGCTTAACAGTCAAAAGTAGAGCTAAATAGATTAATTAAGTGCCTCTAGAATTATACATAGGAATGTCACAAGGTTTAACTCCCTGTATCCTGATACCAACATATGGAAGGTGCTGTAAGGGTCTCCTAAGGCATGCTGCTGTTTGATGGGAGACTGCTACTTCTTTACTTGCTGGCTACTCACTAAGAGCACCAAGCACTTTATGTTATGATGTTTAGCAGACAGCCTGGATGGTATGATGTCTTCCCAGAAGCCCTTTGCAAGTGCCAGCCTGCCCTAGATTCATTTGGCCAGGTCTGGGCTCTGTTAGCAAGGTCAGTCCCCCACAGCCCCTACTCAGTGACACTCCAGCTCATAGAATCATAGAATGGTTTAGGTTGGAAGGGACCTTATAGATCATCTAGATCCAACCCCCTACATGGGCAAGGACACCTCCCACTAGATCAGGTTACTCAAAGCCCCATCCAACCTGGCCTTGAATATTTCCAGGGTTGGGGCTTTCACAGCTTCCCTGAGCAAGCTGTTCCAGTGTCTCACCACCTTCAAACTGAAGAATTTCTTCCTAATATGTGTCCTAAATCTCCCTTCTTCCAGTTTTAATCCATTACCCCTTGTCATCTCGCTACAAGCCCTTGTAAAAAGCCCCTCCCCCCAGAAAGAGCTCAGAAAAACACTGGCCACCCAAAAGCCCATTTCTGCTGCTTCCCCCCTAAAAGAGTGGGAAATGGTTCTGTGAAGGAAAGCAAGGGATATAATTGAGGGTTCTCAGGTTTTCAGACCACACCTGAATCACAAAAGGCTCTGTCAGGAAGGAGTGACAGTTCTCCATTCAAACACACCAAGCATGAGTCCTGCAGGCAGCAGATCACTCCGTGAGCATCACTGCATGATGTGGGGAGCCGAGGCTGCCCAGCACCCAGCAGGGCCAAGCACCACTGCCTGGGCCCATGGTTCTCCCTGCTTGTGGGGCAGTCCTGCTGGCAAAAGAGGAGGGAGGAATGTTGTCCAGGTCTTGCTGTTCTCTGAGAGATAAAGTTGTGCCTCTCCTCTCTCTTGCAGGTTTCGTGTCCACTGCCATCGAATTGTTAACGATAACATTTTCACCAACCTGATCCTGTTTTTCATCTTGCTCAGCAGCATCTCTCTGGCAGCCGAGGACCCTGTCCGGCACCTCTCCTTTAGGAACCAAGTATGCTTCCCATCCTCCTGTCCTCGCTGTGTACTCAAAGTGTGGTACAAGCAGATCATGAGTTGAAGCCAGGAAAGGCAGAAAAGACCACACCGGAGGCTTTGGGAATGACCCTCTTCCCTGATTTGTGCCTTTTGTAGGCTGCGTATGAAATCATCCAGTTTTGCAGGGAACATGAGTCAGGGCAGAATTTGGCCTCTATTTCATTTCAGAAGCATGTGTAGGGGAAAGAAGGACAGGAGGCTGAATCAAAATTATTGTTTCCTGGGTTTAAGGTGTTAGGAATAGTATTTGGAAACACTGATTGCAATACAGATAATTCTAATTTGGGTGATTTGCAGGTTCCTTTTGAAACATTTGCTCCCCTTGCAAGTGCTTTCTTTGTACTGAAAAGCACAGGGCCTCATTTTCACATTGTTCACACTGGTGTAAATGAGGAGTAACATTCCTGAGTTTGATGCAGTCACTCTGGGGGAAATGGGTGTCATCAAGGTTAGAATAAGGCTATTTCAACACAAACTGCAAAGCTATCATTAAATTTGAGATAATCCTCAGAAAATATGCTGTGGTTCTCTCCTCACAAGTCTTGGGCAAGGAGAGGAAGGCATTCAGCAGAGAGATACATTCTCACCTTCTTTTCTGACCATTCTCATTAGCCTTTTGAAACGTTCAGTAAATCCTTAATTTTGCCAGTAGTAGTTTCCATTGTTCTGGGGTCATTGCCAAAATCAGAAGAGTTATCAGTCATATGTAAGACTTCTGATCTTTGGTGTCTGAAGTAGCATTTTGATGCCTTTAAGCTGGAAGAGCTTGGTAGGCTTTAATAGTGGGACTACTTATTGGTTAATAATAAAACCTTAATTTAAGGTTCAGTGTTGAACCTCCCTGAAATATCCTGGCCTGAGCATGCATTTAATTGCATATGTGCATGCAGAGAAGGTGTTAATGGAGGTTTACTCCTGACCTTATTTCAAAGCTGCTTTGCATTTTGTCCTGAAGGAGAGTCCTAAATATGACCCACTTGTGAACAGCTAAGTGTACCCACCATGTAGGGATACATGTTTGTTGGTATGTATTAGTGCTGCAGCACGATATCAGCTGGCATAGGGACTTCTGACATGCCACAGAAGCTGCTGTAGTATCTGTAGCAGGAAGATTTAAATGAGAAAAAAAATATTCAAAGCTGGTTGTCCTGGATGAAAGAGCTGATGCTTTGGGGCCAAGTGTTGTCTCATGTATTTGAAGCCACTGATGTTGCATGAAAATCTGTGTTTAATTTTTGCAGGTAAAGATGTTTAAAATGTATCATACAACCATGTCCAGTGACAAGATGTTTGGGTTGCAGATGAGGTCTGCCTTTACATTTTTACAGTAGAACAGTAAGACTGTATCCTGCCCGGTGCCCTCACAGAGGCTGAGGAGGGAAAGAAAGAAAGCAAGCTGAAAGCAAACTAACTGCCTCTGCCTGCACTCTGGGACATCTTAATCAGGCATTAACCAATGCACAACGACTCATGCAGACTAGTGCTGCTGCTGACACTAACTGTCCCAGAGCAGGAAGACAGGAACAGAGAGAACCTCCTCCAGCAAGGCCTAGCAAAGTGGCTTGGACATTGCTTCTGTCCTAGATCAGGCTACTGGCTGTGTCTTTCTGGTGTCACACAGGGCTCAGGCAGCAAGTTTTTAGGAAGTCCCTCCCCATCTGTTCAAACAGCCTTTGAAGCCCAAGCAAGTCCTAAGTCTTTATGTGCTCAAAGTATTCTCCTGTTTGCACCTTGGCAAGGTGTTCACTTATTTTCATATATTCCAGAGTAAATTAATATTTAGATTATAATAAATGTGCCTACTGATAGATGGTACTGCCTGCACAAGTGGAGCAGTGGTCGTTTTCATTAGGCATGATTTAATCTATAAGGGACATCTTTACTAGCTGCAGCTTAGGGGCCAGATACACCCCAGTATGCTCTAGCTGCTTTGTGGTGCTCTGATGATGTAGAGCAGCTGCAGGGACAGCTTAATCATCCACTTTAATCAAGTTTATGGCTCCTTTATGTTGATGGAGTCATGCAAAACTGCCTGAGAGTACCCATGAAGCTGGCCCATTGCTTATGAAATGATTCCATTGATATAATAAGCTAATGTCAAGACCTACAAGGCAGCAAGGCAAGGGGACATTTCCAGTTATAATGTGTATAAATTAATATAGGATGCAATTGAGATTTTTCTATCCTTGAAGTGGCCCTTTTTTTAATTCTCTCAGTTGCAAAAAAATCAATAAAGCCCAAGACAGCATTAATGAGAGAACAACTTGGGGTCAAAAACTGAGCAGTGACCTGAAGAATTTTGAGTTGCACATCAGCAGTAGGTGATAGATTCCCCCCCATTTGACATTCGGTGTCTGCAAATTAGTCCAGATTTGGATCACGCTTAAATAGTGCAATGTAAAATAACCCTGTAGTTTGCAGTAGCTACCCCACTGCCCTTGGCATGCCAGGCTGTAAGAATCTAGCCACCTGTAAGTCTGAGTTAAGAGTATGGGCACTGAGATAGAATAAATGCCTATGGGATGGGGGAATCTCCTGCTGTATGTTTATTAGTATTTTAGCAGCAAAGATTTAGATTTCACAAAATGTCAATTTTTCTAGAGTTTCCATATATTGATCTTCTGGTCTAGGACTTGGTTAAGCTAAAACAACAGTAATCCAAGGACAGGACACTTTGTATTTTCAGCATATTTAGTGTAAATAGCACTAAAATTGCTTGGAATATTAGAATATGTTGGAAACAAAGACTGTTCAATTCTGGTCCCATCAGTCAATTAGAAAGCTCCCAGTTGCTTTTGTGGGATGTCAACTGATCAGCAGTGAAAGACACTTCTGTTCTTGATACTGTTACTTTGAAAATCACTTTACACTTCCAGAGTTGCTGTTACCTTCTGTGACACTTCAGAGCAAGTTTCTGTGGTCTGCTATGCTTGCCACCAGCATTCCCAGTACTGGGTCTACGTTAATGGGAATGATAGGTGTTTTGGCTTGCCAGTTATCCAAGATGCCAATAGAAAGATGCAAGACCTATTTTAGTCACCTTTAGCACAGGATAAAATTATGTTTGTAATACAAAAGCTGGGATTCTGTTCAATTGGCAGAGTCTTTGTTATTCACCCTAATCCAGGGCAAATCAGGAGAGAGAAAAAAAAACCAAACCAAACATAGCTAGAGCATGAATTTGCAGTTTGCTGTTCTTCCTGTGTAAGAGGCACAGAACAAGCCTGAATGGAAGTTAAGAAGAGGAGGTGTCATGTTTTCCACTGAGAGACCAGGAGTTCTTGTATTCTTAGTTTGGAAGTCTATTTGGGAAAATCCTTTAGTTGTCTGTTGTCTATCAGAGTTTTATTTAATAAATAAATAAATAAATAAATAATTTTTTTTTAAGAAAGGAAAGAAAGAAAATCCTACCAAAAAAAGCCCCAAAATGTTATTTTGCCTCTAGAGCCCTCATGGGATTGTAACTCAGAAAAGATTTCATGTAATGTGCTTGTCCTCTGTGCCAGGACCTTCACCGCATTGAACAGGACGTCGTTACAAAACCATTTCCTATATACTCCTCCTCCTTCCCTTGTCCAAAGGCATATGGATTTGATTTTGAACTGTGATTTCCCATTCAAGTGATCAGTCACTGATCTACCCTCCCCACTCCTATTCCCTTTTGTTTTTACAGATTCTCTTTTATTTTGATATAGTTTTTACTGTCATTTTCACCATTGAAATTGCTCTGAAGGTAAAGTGCCCATCTTCTCTACCATTACTTGTTCACAAGCTTACTAGTTTTCTGCCACTATCTGTTGCTAACACACACGCCTGTTTGTTCCTGGGTCACGCTCAGTACCACTAACCCAATTGTGCTTATTTTTCAGATCCTAGGCAATGCAGACTATGTCTTCACTAGTATCTTTACATTAGAAATTATTCTTAAGGTAACCAATCTGAGCAATACACTTGTTTTCTCCCTTGATTCTTTCTTTCCTTGTTTCTTGCTTCTTTCTTTCAGTTTTTCTTGAGTGTTTTCTTGTTCTCTTGTTCTCTTTCTTGCTTGCTTGCTCTTTTTCTTTCCTGCTCTCTTTCTTTCTTTCTTGTTTTCTATTGCTCTCTGTTTTCATTTTTTTCTTTTGTTTCTTTTGTTTCTCTTTTTTTAACACCATTAATATCTCTACACAAAGGATTGTTTATCTTTTGACTTTATTGTTTTGATAGTTGCTTTAAAAGTCTTATGTGAAAATTTGATATTCAAACTTGTAATTGAGGGTCTATATGAAGACAATACTTTCTAGGAGAATTGCAATGAAAGGATGATCTTGTTGGGAAAAGTAAGAGGGGACCAAGAAAAAGGCCATCACCCCATACATTTATTTCGCTACGCAGTCTTTCCAAAACAGGATTCATTTGCTGTGCAACGAATCCTGAGCACACACTCTTCCTCTTACACATGCTCCAACCTAAAGAGAAAGTCTCCGTTCTGCACAAGTCATGAGGCTGGGCCAAAGGGCAGCCGATGACTTCTGTAAGGTTACAGAGTGCAGAGTCACATAGGAAACAGGCAGCACAGTGCAGAAGCTCAATTTTTAAGTGTGGAGAGGAAACTTGGAGTACAAATCACTGAAACACCAAGGATTGTAGCTGCGAATGAAAATTGCTGCATTGCCTGTTTGAAACCTGGCTTAGTTTTGCCCAGGAACATGCTCTATACCAAGAGAAATGTGCAGGAGAATGGTTTAGCTTGGAAAAAAATAAATAGGCTGTCCTGTTCTTAACTCTAATTTTACCAAATTGGCCGGCAAATAATTTAAATAACAGTAATTGAACAAAGTTCTGGCTTTCTAAATGCTAGGTTCACTTGGCAGCTTGTTTTTTTTTCTCAGCAAGCTAGTTCTAAGTGCTGGCAGGGAGTAGCTCAGAGTTGCTCAAATTTTCCAGCTCAGGACCCTAATAACAGTATCCATACTGGAGTCTGGAAAGCAGGGTAGCCCCTGCATATTTTTTGTAGAGAGATGACCTTTTTGATATGACTTAAATTCACCCAAGCCATAGCGTTCTCCAAAGAGGCCTACGTATTAGGCTTGTGTGCATCTGTTTTTGCACAATAAATCTGAACATGCACATACCAAATGGCTGATCAATAAGGCCCATTAAAAAAAGGAAAACATATCACAGTAACATGTAAAAGTAAACCATAGCTCAAGGTACCAATTTGAACTTAGAGTTACTAATTCTGTTCCCTCAGAAGCAAACAGTAACACTCATGGCTTCAGTGGAGGCAGAACCCAACCTAAACAATTGGCATAATGCTGTTTTCATCAGGGGAGTGCACTGCATAGTACCTGAGCCTTCCCAATGTCCTCCTATTAACTTCAGTGGATTTCTGTCAACACCCCTGGATATTCTTTGGGTTCAAGTGGGAGAAGAGTGCAAGGACTACAGATATTTTAAAAATTCTTCCATTTTTATCCTGTCAGTTCGTGCCCCACAGATTGCCTGGTTCCTTAGGGCATGTTTTTCTGCTGCCTTGCATTGAGCACAATGTTTTGCACAGTAGCAAAATTAGTGTAAATGATAAGAAACAAAAGGATAAATGCCCATGGGATATTCAAGGCTGTAGAGAAACAAGTTTCATCTCCCCTCATTTTGCTGATGACACCTGAAACCCTCACACTGCCATGACAGAATCTGGTGAATGTTAGCAAGGTGATCACCAGTTGTTTTGGTTTTGTTGTTGTTTTTTTTAATTGGCATCCTAAAAGCTTGTTCAATGCTGTAGCTGGGAGGCAGACGTAGATTGTACACTCTCTGAGAGTTTCTTCTGAGGTAACAAAATAGACTTTAGAAAACCACAGTTTGTATAGAACTCAAACTCTGCAGAGCTTCCCCTCCTGATTTCAATGGTGTCTCCTTTCTTTCAAGATTGCCATACAAAATCTAACCAGTAAAGGGCATCTTTACCACTTTTTGTTATGGCAAGAACCCCTCCCCTCTTCCCCAGCTGGATGTGTCCATAAGTATAAATTCTAAGCTAAGACCAGAGTTTATACTTCCTCCCCTTCTAAGTTTTGTCTGACTGATTTATAGTCAGTTCCCTGATGTCACGGATGTTTGGTGAAACAAATAATCTGACATGCCATGTGCCCTTCCACCCTCCTCTGAATAAGGTTGTCACAGGTAGGCATGACTGAAAACCGTTAGCAGGTATGTAATTCTGAGCCATCAGCTGGAGTTAGAAAACTCCAGTTTGGATTTTTAGTTCACACTTCTCAGCTGGGAATCTGGCTAGAGCTCACAATTGAGGAACAGTCTCACGGTATCTGATTCAAGTTACTTTAGACGTCTAACTTAGATGAGATCCAGAGGACCAAATTCAGAAGCCTGTGTTCCTAACCCAGGTAATGGAGGGAGATTAGCAGTTGTGGGAATGGGGTTTCTTCAGAGGAGCTATATTAGATTGCTCACCAAGTCTAAGGTAGGTGGTACAAATATCCCCATCACCTCACCCTCTTTAACCATGCCAGACTCGTTTAGTCACATTCTGCAGATGAGCTCAGCCTAAAATTCAAATTCTGAGCTCAGAAATGTTTAGGTCTGACACTGTGACTGAAACCCATTTCTGTTTACACTATCACTTATTCCAACTCTGGAGCTGTGACATCCTGCCCAATACTAGCAGGTTTTCAGTATCCTTTCATACCGAGAAGGGGCAGAGAGTCTCTTGTAAAATATGTAAAACCTTTCCCTTCCTCTACTGGGTGATGTTTATAATTATAACCTCCACAAAGAAACCACTCTGTCTCAAGGAATCTTGCCTTGAGCTTTATGAGAAAAACCAAGAGGAAAACGCAGCTGCTTCTGGAATAAAAGTGGAGGAAGCTGGATAGGAGTAGGAAAAGAAATACAGGATTGAGCTGAACAAAAGGATCAAACTGAAGAGAGCAGGAATTCCTTCTGTTGCTTTAGTTCAGCTCTAGACCTTCAAATCTGTGAGGGATTCTTTTTTTTCTTCATGGAGAGAAAAGAGCTCAACTGTCCACTGCAGCTGGTCAAAGCACTGGAAAACATTACAAAAGCACCCTTTTTATTTTATTTTTTTAAATTTGATTAAACTAGAGGTCTTTATATATAAAAAAATTCATAACTCACAAGTGTCCTCTGCCATTCAAGAAAAAGAGTAAAGCATGTAATTGCAAAGAGTAGCTTTTGCAAGCAGTCATTATGCTGCTTTGCTGACTATAAATGTTATGTATTCTAAGCACTCAAAGTGCATATTTTCCTCACTGTACTTACTGTTTGCTTTCCCCATGGTCTTTCATAGTTACCTTGCTGTCTTCTTCATTCTCTTTCCTTTCAATGGGGACTCAATTTCTCCTTTGGGGCCTGGGGGTAAATTGCCTGCTGTGTTAGAAATAACCACCCCTTCCCGATTATATGCTCTGAGCACAACCAGGTGGCTTTGGTTTCTGAACAGATGCTAATGGCAAAGTGTGTTTGTCTTCATGTGCCTTCCCACAGATGACCGCGTACGGGGCTTTCCTTCATAAGGGCTCCTTCTGCAGAAACTATTTCAACATCCTAGACCTGCTGGTGGTCAGCGTTTCTCTCATCTCCTTTGGGATCCAGTGAGTGAGCTAATTTCAACTGGCTGGTTTTTGGGGTTCATAGGGCCAGGCTGGGAGGTGGTAGTCTCATTACCTTATCTGGGTAAGATTTTTCTCAAGAGCCTGGAAGTATTATTCAAGGCCATTAAAATTCAACTCCAAGAGGGGAGGTGGTAAATTGGGAAATGCTAAACTAGTCACCTAGGGGAAAAAACTTCCAGAAAGAGCAAATAAGAACAAGAAACTTGGTCCATAGGGAATCATGGCACTTAGCTTTGTTCCAAGATCTCTGGTTCACTGTATCAGTTCGGGACAATTAAGTGACTTACTGTTCCCTCCTAGAGTTCTCATAACCATTTTGGAACATAGGGTGGTGATATTTTGTTACTTCCTAAGATATTGTGGGTATTATTCAGTGGAAGACCATCAAATACTTTGTGAGCATTTGCAGAACACTAATGGCAAAGACAGTTGATCCTGCTTCTGTCATGACACTTCATGTTGGTTGATCTGTTAATTTGGTTAATAAGTTTATAAATTTACTTGACTGTGGAACTCTACATGTTGGATGGGGAGTTTCCCAAGTAGTATCACTTACTTATTTTTACTTATTTTTTACTTATTTTTTACTTTACTTATAAATTTAGTCTTGTTGGATGGGGAGTTTCCCAAGTAGTATCACATCTGATAAAAACAAGGTCCCCATTGTTACCATTACAGGTTAGGAGCTCATGTATGCTGTGTTCCTTCTGCTAAGTCAAACAGAAGGATTTGTCAGGTCCATTGGATTTTCAGTCAAGGTGTTAAGAATGGCACAGTGCTCATTTTGACCCGTTATCCTTTCTTACAGACCTAACCAGACTGTTAATATGTTAGCAAAAAAACCTGTTGCCAAAATCAGTAGGAGGGCCTGGTGTCATACACCATGGAGAAGACTCTCAGCCAGGGTTTTAGTCTTGGAAGACACAAAGAGCTTTGTTGTAGTAAATAGCTGTGTTTGGTACTTAAAATTAAATGCGTAAGTCATCCTAATCAATGCAGTGGGAGTTTCCACATCCTTAAATTGATGTACACACTTAATTGATTTGATGGATCAGAGGCCAAACATGCTGCAGGATCAAACCCCAGATGAACAGTATACCTTTAATGCTGGAGTCATCTGGAGTTCACACTCTTCTATGAATATTTCAGTAGAGTGCTTCTCTGAGCCTTATCTGAAAGTGTCTTGTGATGACTACATCTTGGCACAATTTCCATTAGGTATCTACGGAGTATTTGGCAGCTTGCCCTTCTTAAAAAAATACCCTGCCCACGTTCCATCCCCTTCACTAAGACAGCAGAGATGGTGAAAGCCAGGAGAGCATTCACTGAGCCTGCCCAGAGCAGGAAGCAAGAACTATGAAGATAACATCAGGGAGTAGTTACCTTACCTCTGAAGTACTGTAGCACAGAGTTGGCTCTCTAACTGTTCTAGGCAATCCAAGACTATGTAGGATTTCAAACAAGAAAGAGTGCCCTTGCATCTGCCCTTGCAGAGCATCCCCTATATTGCTGTATCTCTCATACCTTCCAATGCTTTCTTTCAGGTCCAGTGCCATCAATGTGGTGAAGATCCTGCGTGTTCTGAGAGTTCTTAGACCACTGAGGGCCATCAACAGAGCCAAGGGACTAAAGGTTAGAAGGGTCCCAATGCATTCTGTAAACTACAAATTCAAGTTATTTCAAGCTACAGGGACTTTAAAAATGGTTCAAGTAGTGTTTCAGCAGAATCATGGAATGGTTGAGGTTGGGAGGGACCTCTGGAGGTTGTCCTGCCCAACAACCCTGCTCAAGCAGGGCCACTGAGAGCAAATTGCCCAGGATCATGCCCAGGTGGCTTTTGAATATCTCCAAGGAGGCAGACACCACAGCTTCTCTGGACCTGTTGCAGTGCTCTGGCACCCTCACAATAAATAGGTGTTTCCCATGTTCAGATAAACCTCCTCTGTTTCAGTTTGTGCCCATTGCCTCTTGTCCTGTTGGTGGGCACCACTGAGAAGAGCCTGGCTCTATCTTCTCTGCACCTTCCCCTCAGGTATTTATATACCTTGACAAGGTTCCCTTGAATCTTCTGAGACTGAACAGTCCCAGCTCTCTCAGCCTTTCCTTGTGAGAGGGGTGCTCCACTCCCTTAATCATCTTTGTGCCCCCTTGCTGGACTTCCTCCAGCACATTCATGGCTCTCTTGTACTGAGGAGCCCAGAACTGGGCCCAGTGCTCCAGCTGTGGCTTCACCAGTGCTGGGTAGAGGGGAAGGATCACCTACCTCAACCCGCTGGAAGTACTTTGCCTAATGAATCCCAGGATATCATTTGCTGCCTTTGCAGTGAGGTCTCATGTTCAACTTTGGATTTCTACCAGGTTCCCCAGGTCTTTTTCTGCCATCTGCTTTCCAGCTGGGTGGCCCAGTATCACCACTAAGTTTAAATGATGTCGTTTGGTAGGGTTATAGAAGGACTCACAAGCCTATTTTAACATAGCCTTGCTGTATTAGATAAGCTGTTTAATCTGTGCTGGTGGGTGCCCAACTATTTAAGTTGGTGTTGCTGGAAGTTTCAGAGGGCTGAACCCTGATATTTTCCTATCCCTTTCTGCCTGCTTCTAAGTGTACAGTGAGGAACATAACAAGTCAGTCTTTACTCCTTTCAATGGGCAGTAGTTAAATTGCATTCTTTTATTTGTATTTTCAGTCTTCTCCCTTAACCAGAGCAGCTCAAAACAACCCTGGAAGTTACTTTTGTTCCTATCTTCCATTTGCAGCATGTGGTCCAGTGTGTGTTTGTCGCCATCCGAACCATCGGAAACATTGTGATTGTCACTACTTTGCTGCAGTTCATGTTTGCCTGCATTGGAGTTCAGTTGTTTAAGGTAAAAATGTTGGGCCCATTCATTCAGCCATTACACTGAGCTGGATTCTGGGTTGGGAATAAAAAAAGCATAAAGAAGCCTGAGGAAGTGGAGATGGAGACTTCTGTGTGAAAGACACAATACTTGAAGCACTACCAGTGTTACCTGGACTCCTGCTACCAGGAAGTCCCCAAAACTGGACAAGGTATATTCAGAACTCCTGCCTTTCATCTGTAATTGTAAGAAGTCATCATTAACATCAGTAACCTTCTTCCCTAAATAGATTGTGGCATGACTTAGTGCCAGAGAAACAAAGGGGGCAGTTCTAAAGGATTGGTACTAGCCAGCTGTCTGCCTCCCACCTTGGAGAGGAAAGGGCATGCCAGATAATCACGGAAGGTTACTCATTCACTTCTTTACCTCTGATTTTATTTCTTTGCCCTTCACCACCCTTTTGACAACTAGTGTTCTGCAGCACTCAGTGGTCATGGCCCTGAGGAAGTACACATTAAAGTACTGTGCAAGCAGATGAAAGCCTGTGCTATGAGCTACCCAGGTGCAGGAAACTCAATCCAGTTTGATCACGTGTACCTGGAAAAGAGCATTTATACGTACTCATAGTTGGTTAAGCAATTAGTAAATACAGTCTCATAGAATCATAGAATATGCTGAGTTGGAAGGGACCCATCAGAATCACTGAGTCCAACTCCTGGTCTCCTTGCTACACAACCTGTCCAAACCCTTGCAGTGTCAGTAAAGGAAGCTTCATTCCTCTTTCTTTCTTTTCAAGGGCAAGCTGTACAGCTGCACTGATAGCTCCAAGCAGACGGAGGCAGAATGCAAGTGAGTCTGACCTTTCCCAGTTAGCACCCTTCACTGGCCACCCACTGTCAGGGCCTCGTACTGGAAGCATAGCTCTGCCATGTTCTCCCTCTGCTTTGATCCACAGAGGGTACTACATTACATACAAGGATGGTGAGGTCAACCAGCCAATGATACAGCCCCGGAGCTGGGAGAACAGCAAGTTTGACTTCGACAACGTCTTGACTGCCATGATGGCCCTCTTCACTGTCTCAACCTTTGAGGGCTGGCCAGAGTGAGTGCTTCTTGCCCCTGTGCACCAGCAGTAATGTCCTCATTCATTTCAACAGAGAAAATTGCAATGCAGAGCATGATCTTTCCCATTCTAAGTATTTCAAGAAGTCTAAAGTGTTAAGTGTAGCAATAGTAGCAGCAGTATTGTACTATTTATGTACTTTGTAAATTCCTCAGGGCCTGCAGGAATTGCTGTTCCTGTACTTGCAGTGCACAGAACTGTCTCTAGATCTTAAAAAATTATTGACAGTATTAGCAATGATAGCAACATTTGTTACAAATACTATGTATGTAAATGGCTATAAAATGCTTGCCAGGTACTTAGAAGTACTGCTAGATGTGGCTAGTTTCCTGATGGAGTCAGCATGGCAATATGAATACAGCAGTGCTGTCTCTGTAGTATGGGCAGACACGGGTTGTCTTCCCTGGCTGTGCTGTCTGTGCCAAGGGACCAAAGGCTCTTACAACTCCACTTTGTCAGAGTGATGTGGGCGTGCAGGTTATCAGGGGATTGACCCTGAGCTGTGTCACCAGGTGATGCCAACAGCAGTCTTAGCAAATGTAAAAAGTGCTGAGATCCCCTTTTCTCACAAAACTCAGTTTCCAACAACAGACTCTCCTGTCTTCTGCTAACTGAAGGGCATGCTTTTGTTTTAAATTTTAATTGTTCAATTGGAAAACTCCTGAACGGGTTAAAACGTGTAAAGTTAGTAAGAGCTGGGTCTTCTCTTTTGCAAGAGTTTGCACTCAGATCAGTGCAAGTCTGCTCATCTGTGAGTGATGTAATTTTGATACAAGTAGAAGAAAATCACAAAGTTAAATTTTATAACATCACCTATAAGGCCTCAAGGCAGTTGCAGATTTTCTCTGCATTTGGCTCCTGTTTGCTTTCAGGTTGCTGTATAGGTCCATTGATTCCCACATGGAGGATGTGGGACCCATCTATAATCACAGGGTTGAGATCTCCATCTTCTTTATTATCTACATCATCATCATTGCTTTCTTCATGATGAACATCTTCGTTGGTTTCGTCATCGTCACATTTCAGGAGCAAGGAGAACAAGAGTACAAGAACTGTGAGCTGGACAAAAACCAGGTAATTTACAATAACTTGTTGCCATTAAAGGTAGAAAATGTATTGAGAATAAGCATTTAAGAGATAAATAGATACAGAGAGGAATATGTGAAAGTTTCTAGCAAGATAAAGCACTAAGGTCTCTTCACCATCATCTTTCAGGAGTCAGGTGAAAAAACTTGCTGTAAAATTTGCTGAAAATTTACCACAGAATGTCTGCTGTACCAGTTGACTCACTGAGATTAGATGAGCATGACAGTGTGTCTGGCCAAAGTAACTGCACATGGAATTCTTCAATGGGTGGAATGTACAAATTCAGAGTAGGACTTTGAAGAAATTCTTCTACCAAGCATTTTCGTTTCAGTAGAAGACTTGAAATACATTGTGTTTTTTATTACATTTGGAGGTAGCTGAACAACCCTGTATTTTGTATTTGATGTTTAAATCTGCCCTGCCTCTTTCCCAGCGCCAGTGCGTAGAATATGCCCTGAAGGCCCGGCCCCTGCGGAGATACATCCCTAAAAACCAGTACCAGTACAAAGTCTGGTATGTGGTCAACTCCACCTATTTTGAATACCTGATGTTCGTTCTGATCCTGCT